AATGAACATTTTTTTAAAGATAATTTGACAGTAGCTCGAACTCAAAATGACAAGCATAAATTCGTGAATAACTTCAAACTTATAAATCTTGATAAAGATTTACAACTTAAGTTTTTAAATCGATACTTAAATCCATGAAATGGTAATTAAAATATCGTGCAATTTCAAAAAATAATTTAAAAAATTAATTTTTTAAATTCATAATAGTAAAAATTTTAAACTGAATTAAGATGACAAATTCTGTTTAAGGTTATTGAAATTTTATTATCACTGGAATTATTGTAAAATATGTAGTTATTTCAATTTTAGTAAAGAAGAAATCTTTCGTTACATTGTTTATGAAGTTTCGTATGCAATTATTGTTTAATTTATTTAATGTGATAATGTTCTATATCCTGTGAAAGCACATAATTTTTTTCTATACTTTCTATATTATATTATTATCCTAATAAAAGAATTACTATCATCTATTCTTTGCATTTATATATGTACATGTACATATATGCATGTATTTATATGCTCGAATATTTATATATGTATATGCATGTATTCAAAATGTTATACTTCATCTACTTGTATGTTCAGTGTTGTACTTCATCTGTTTGTATGCTTAAAGTGTTACACTTCATCTATTTATACATTTAAATAAATAATTATTCCACAATTTGTTGATAATATTACAAGTATCGTTTATATCGATTGTATTGCCACTTTCCGTTCATTCAAATTCGCAAATAAAAAAGATTCCGATGTCCGGAGGGGTCTTTATGATCAAGAACGTCTGTCCAGCAGCACGATGGTGCTTCGAACGAATAGAACGCTACTTTATTGGAAGATACTGAATTTTTATTCATCCCCTGCGCAAATAGAGGCCATGTACAGCCATCCGGCATGGTCGTTCTTTAAAATGCATGTCGCTCTTAAATCAAGGGAACAATAATTGTGTCCACTATGCGGACGCGCTTGATCGGATCAGGAATATTTGTTGCTTTTTTACCCTCAGCACTAAACCTACTCGTATTTGGTGAATCTGCTGACTGTCAGATGTTAAGCACAATGAAAATACGGCTAATAAAAAGAATCGTTAAACTTTTCGAAACAACACAATGAACGCCATGTTATACGAGTAACAGTAAATTCATACTGTTTATTAAAGTTAAACTGTTAATAAAAGTTCTACCTTTGTTATGAATGCATATTCATTAAAACGAGGTGCAGGTATAATTTTATGCATATCAAAACCGATTTTTGAATAAATACTCGTTATGCGCATATCTTTGGAAATATAACCTAACTTTCGAAACTCATCTTTTGAAATGTAATTAAAATTATTTCGAAACCTGATCTGTGGTAAATTTTGCTTATAAATATTTACGTTTATTAATAACCGAATTTTGCAATAACTTTGATTTGATTTTACAGTAACTTTGACATGATTTTGCAATGATCTTGATCTAATTTTGAGAGACGTGTCGAGTGTATTTTTAGGTTATAGAACACATGATATGTTAGAAATTTGACTTCTATCACTTTCATGTTTTTTAATATTACCAAAAGGCATGTAAATGTTGTTAAGCTTTGTTCGGCCTAAAAATACTGTAACTTCAAAATACTTTTGTGAATCATTTTAATATTAATGAGTTTATATTATTACGTATTTATGATAATCAATGAATAGGTTTAACATGGCAAATACATTCAACATTGATGTCTTTTTTAATACATTTAACACTAATCTCATATACCAAACAAAGAATTATAATTGAAAAAGTACATAAGTCTATCATTATTACTTTTTAAACTGCAGACAATGACTGTAAGTATAAAACATATTTTAAATGCTTCTTCTACAAAGTCTTCATTTCAATACATTCCTCAAACACTTCTGATAATTTAAAGGTGTTTTTAAAAAAATTAATTACCTTCCTATCAGATACGTACTGTGTATCAAATATTGTCTTCTGCAGAGAAAAATGACAAGCATGACACAATGTATATCTGATATAACAGTCTTTTAAGTAACGTTTTATAAGAATAGTAATTCTTGTAAGAATTTAACAAGGAAATTAGCGGAATATGACTAAATCTTATCAAAAATAAACACCGTAAAATAAAATTTCTGATAAAATTCCAAGATTAGAAAAGTTTATCCCCTTCTTTAACACTGATGCCTATCGGCTAATCCATCGCCGTTGCACGTTAATAAAAGAAAAAAAAAACGCTAATCAGGTTGAAATGAACAGCAACGTGATCGTAGCACGCAGCAATTTATGCGTGGAATTCTGCTCGATCAACCGGGAGAATGCCACAGACTGAAGTGGTGGCAGAGGGTGAAAGCAAGAGGGAGGACACACCCCCCGCGAACTCGAACATGAATTAAAGTTTTAATTTCTCTAAATCACTGTTCGCCCTCGAGCGTTTTCCACCAGACGGTCCGTTACTTATAGCCTTTGCTCTTTTTACCGCCTTCTTTTTTCCCATTCGCCTCGATCTTACCACCGACCAACCCTCGCCAATCGGGAGAAATCGATATGCACTTATCCGATGACTCTTGAGACCCCTCTTTCTTTCTTTCTTCTCTTTTTTTTCAAACATACTTTCGCAGGCATAACAGCCAGAAATCTATAGAGAGGCGAATTCTGTGTACCAATGGTGAATGAAATTACTCGAAACCACTTGAAACCACGAGATACTTATGTCGATGATTTAGTGCACGATTATTGTATTTACACTTGCAGTGCTTTCAAACAATTAATTTCTATGGTGGTAATATTTAGAGATACGTGAGTTTTTTTTGGGAATAACGAATTTTTGTTCGGGGTTAAAGGTTTTATGATATTTTATGATATATTTAATATGTGCTTGTTGCAGCGCATATTTAATGTGCTGTGTATGCATGCAGTGAAAATATGGTTTATTATTTAATTAACAATGCAAGCTATAATAGAATATACAATTATTTGTATGTAATATATACAAATTTGTACTAATTTATAGTGTAGTATAATAAAATATACTAAATAATATTTGTGTATAATACAAACACAGAAATGAATAATACAATATAACAATATGTTAGAATTGATCAGAAGATATACGACCAAAAATAAAATAAAACTCCCTAAGAAGTATAGACACCTGAAATGTGTCTATAAGCTAGAAGCTTAGAATATAGAAAATATAGCAATTTGGAAAGAAATTCGTTCGTTACAATTTTCATTACAAAGACAATTCTGCCTACAACTACTGCATATTACAAATTCTGCCTTCGGCCACAACTTGTCTACAGCCTATATAAACATCAGCTTGAAGTCGTGATTACCTTTTAAGTACAGTAAATTAAAATTTCGCTCGGCCTTAATCAGTAGTTTCAGATTGAAATTCCAACTTGGGTAGCCATCCACCACCGAGAACAAATGGCAACTACAAATTGCGTTAATCAATCAAATTCGATCGACCACCCTTCTCCATTCTTTTCCCAAAGCAATTGCGCAATATTTCAGTTTTGAACGATCTATAATTTACCATCGACGTTCGTAGAATGAATCTGAATCGCAAGTCGCGTTCGAACTTGCTCTCGTAGCACGCTTTGTACCCATTCCCTCGCACAGGAGGGTGAGACAGGGGTTGTTCATTTAAAATCATGACGTCGAGCGTAGGGCGCAGTCACGACGGAGGCGTTAGTATTAACGTTAGGTGCGAGCAGACCGGGCTACCTACAAGAACTTCGTGCACCCGTTTCACCCCCTTACCACCGGTGACATATTGTTTCCATTCCGGTCTCGAGTTAAAGCGCAATAAAAAACTGGCATAAATATCACCCCCTTGGCGTTCCGCGACACCGATACTATGCCGAGCGGTGGCCCACGACATTGCTTGCGAGTAAGAACGTACAGGACCCGAATATCGCCTTCGTGCTCTACAACTACGTGAGATCGTTCTTTCGTATGGGTAAAATGGCGAGGACTAATTTGTCTGAGTGGCTTTTTCGGCGGTTACAGAAAGGGAGCCGTGGAACGATCATCTTGTGTCGCGCGAATTTTCATGCGTCGCGTTTTGGGCAAGATGGCGCGCGAATCTAACTTCGTTGATCGCCATGGCATTCAAATTTGGATGACTCACTAATTTATACTTAATTACTCATTTTTATGTTCACAATTATACATATAAAATAGTTTAAAGTATATTCAGCAAAAATAGGTAAATATCATTGAATCATTCAATTATGTCTGTAGCGTAATAACGTTTTTAACTAATTTAATGGGAGTTTGACTAATTTAACTCAAAGTATTAACGGAACTACCAAACTGGTAGTGTGACCAGTTTTCAAGTTTTTTCTTTTAAATTTTAAAATTTATTACAATATTTTAATTGATGTTAATGGATAATCAAGAGATTTTTTGTAACCCTTTAACTGCGGAGCAATTTGGCATAAAGGTATCGATATTCGTATGTCAGTCACACATTATTTTATTCATTGAGATGTTTCCGATTGTAAAATAAACATTTATTAATACTCAGTTATTTACAGTTGTAATGTTACATGAATCAATGAATTCTATGTTAAATCCATTTAATAAAGTAGTAAATGTGTTGTATTAAAAAAAATTTACGATCGTCTCTTCTTTAATACGAAATTTATGTCTCCTTTTCACTAATAGCTAACTATTTTCACTTTTGCCTAATGTTGCTAATAAATTAGTGTATCCTATATCAATATATGATCTATCACATGAAACAGCAATAGACTACGGGGTCTGTTAAACACAAAAGTATATTTAAATAAAAAAATATGCTCCTCAATTTTAACTTGGATAAAGGGCAAAGAGAAGACAAAATAGTACAGTGAATGTAGTATAGTTGTCCAAGATTTAGTCGTCGAAAATTCAATACTTTTCAAAAATTGAATTTTTGTGGAGGGGAATTATATATGGAAATTATAATGGAATTGCATATTCTCTACTAGTATATCTATAATGTTTAAATGAAGTTGTACTTACAGCGTGACAGGTTCCTCAGGGCTCGAAGGTGAAATTGAAAGCGACATGCTGGTGGTTAGACATCGTGATGTTCCTGGAGACCTAACACGATCATCCACCTGCAATAATATAGAAATACTAAATTAAGAACGACCGAATTATTTCATTGTAATTATTCATTAATATTACTTAAATATTAAATCTATAATTTGAACCTAATTGACAATCTTCACTCAAGCAAGATTATTTTTAACATAGTCTACAAATATTTTAAATGACTTAACAGCTTAATTTAACTACGAAACAAATTACTATTTTGATAGTGAAATGATTCAAATTTTGTTAGATATACTCGTTATGGATTAAAAGATAATATTAACTTATTAAATTTATTAACTTAAGATTATTAACTTAGGATTAAGCGAAAATAATAATATACTGGATAGAAAGAAAATATTAATACAACGAATTAGAAGAAAACATTACCACAATAAATTAAAAGAAAATATTAATAAGGGATTAAAAAAGTATCAATAGAGTTATATCACGATAAGAGTTAAAATAATATTAAAATATACCACACAATATTTTAATAAACAATTTAAACGATTTAAATAACAAATGGTTGAAATAAATTATATACAATGTAGTATTTAACAAACATTTGATACTCAATACATTGTGTGTTTTTGAAATTAAGCGATTACAATAAAAGCAAAGTGTGCTAATCCTCTTTGGATTACAGTAATCACTGACGAGAGGTCTCAACGTCATCCACTTTAACGGATTACGCAAACGATCAAATTGAAAAAATACAGAGAGAACATTTCTGTGTGCACCTTTTAAATTCTTTGCACGATTCTTGCTGTCGTCGATGGGGAATTGAGCAACAGGTAGAGTAGATATGTCCTCGAGGCATCATGCTCGACAGAGCATACGCGTGATTTACTGTATAAGTGACTCATCGAAACCACCCTTTTTCTTTTATCTTTGCCTCACTACTCGAAACGAAACGCGAAGGAAATAATTCTTTTAGTTAAACCCCGTTTCGTGGAATAGGATCCCAGAATTTATATCCGAGGGTAGAGTTCACGTTTGAGATAAAGTATCAATTGAAACGAAATAGAAATTTTATTAGATTATTATCGTTGATGTTTGTGTAAAATATTGCTTTATTTGTTTGCTGAGGAAATTAATGAATGTAAACATCATTATTTTAATATTAAAAGCCTTCAAATTCTCCTTTCGTTTATTTTTCTTATAATGATTAATTTAACTGAACTTGCCTGTCACATATGGCCACCGTGACAAACATATGTGAACTTTCAATAACGTAGAGTGAATATATTTTTATCGTATAATTTGTATATTTATGAAAAGTAATGTAAATATTTAACATTTAATATGTAATGCACAATGTATATATTCTACAGCACAATGCATACTTTGTTAACGTATATTATAACGTATGATACATAACTTACAACAAAGTGGTATACATTTTTAACGTTACAGCTATTTATAACGGCGGTGGATTTAAATGTTCGCACATGTGTCATACGTACGACTGTCAGAATTATCAGTTTTATGATGGTTAAAAACGTAGTAAATTACTCATTGGTAGAGCTAATACAATCGCATCGGTGTGAGCTGATAAATTCAGTTGAAATTGAGCGAGCAACCACCCTACCGCCTCCCGGCCAGTTCAAAGAAATATTACAGCCATATTTTTCTTCTGTGAACGATGACTGAAGCTCTCCCGCGATTTTCAAGGGATTAATAATGACGGTGGAGCGTTCTACGACAATCGTAGAGAGAAACAAACGCAGCCCCGGGCAAGTGGACCAGACTCGCACCGACATCAATCTGAACGAGCGAACCGCACCCCTAACGAGCCACCGAGTCATATAAATTTTATTGCCATTTCATAAATCCCGACTACTACCGCGAGTAACCGTTACAGCCTTTCCAAGCGATTATCAGCAGCGTATAAAGTTGCGGATTCTGACGGATTATAACGGGCTCGATTCTGTCTTCTGCGACGCTTTCGAGGGTGTCTGAAAATCGACGTCAAAATGTTGAACTGTGTTCACTGGTGATTATGCAAAATGGAGGACCTTGTAATGATGCGAATCTTTTATGGTTTGCATTGCGATTTATTTGCCAGGTGCTTAACGTGACATGAATTGATGGTAAGTGATATGTGATATATTGGTATGTTAGTATATTGATATATTAGTATATTAGTATGTTAGTATGTAGATATATGGTATCTTGGCATATTACTACATGGAGTACTGGCACATAATACATTTGTATATGTTAAGTGATAGATATGTATGTGGGATCGGTTTATTCGGGGTTCATCGAATACGATAGGGCGCGATCGGGCGAGCGGGAAACGTGGACGATTGGCGCCAAGATAGTTCGGCGCTATTATGAGTTGCCGCGAAAATTAGCGAGGGAACGAAGAATTAGCTAGCATTTGTTTCCTTTTACGCGGGAACCCAGGGCGAATGAGGAAAACGATGTGGCGTCGCGAAGCAGTCTCGTTGTAACGTTGAAAGTAGGAAGTCGTCCGAAAAGTTGTATCAGTGTCCGTATTTGATTTTTATATTTCGTTGATTATTATACTCTTGTTAAATTATTAAAATTATTATTCTGTTATTATTATTCCAAAAAAAAAACTAGTAATCCGTCAACCTCGATTATTTCCGATCCTACATGTATGTAGAATAGTGGTATATTAGTGTGTTAGTATATTGAAATATGATGTATTTGTATATTGATACATGAAGTACTGGTACATGATACATTGGTATATGTTAAGTGATAGACATGTAGTATAATGGTGTATTAGTATAGTAATATATTGGTATATTACTACGTCATGTATTTTTACATGCTGCATTGGTACCTGTAATATGATATACAGTATATGATATGTGGTATCTTGTATATTAAAGTATTAAAATGCCTAAAGAAGATTAAAACACTGTCATTTTTTCTTCGGTGATCTTTGACTATAATAATTATAATTGGTTCCAAAATATAAATTCAAACAGAATCTTTCCACCTTCTTCGAATTATTTATTGATGTATGATTTAATAGTTCTAACAATAAAAATTTTCGTCATCAATAACAACTAACACCATAAAATACGCCTACTACTCTATAAATTACACAAAAGCTAAAATTTCTGGAAAGCACTATAAAAATACTTTCAAAGGGCAGAAAAGGTATTTACCTCCTAAAACGCAGAAATAAATGTAAAATACAACGCATATAAGAACGGAAGGAATGGAATAAATAAGATAAATAAGACAGAAGTATGCGTGCAAGAGAAAAAGCAGAAGCACAGTTAATTCAGTTTTATACGACAACACTTCCGATCCGCGGTAAGCCGACGACAGTCTCGAGTTCCTTCCCTCGAGTTCTCTTCATCTTAACGCAAAGACGAACGAAAACCTGATTTACATTTCTTTCTCTCCTCGCTATAAAAATTCCGCGACGATAACTTCCTTTGTTCCACCCTCTATGGCCGCGGGGGCGAACAACCCCTGTGGCTGGTGAGCCACAGGGAGTCCCATAACTCCAACTAGTTTTCGGTTTACATTGTATTTTTTTCCTTTAATTAAAGACTTGGGTGTGTAAAATTGTCTACCATTGTCAATAAAATGTTCGATATTCGTTTATTTTATTGATAAATGAATTGTGGGAGCTGTAATTACGGTTAATTAATTGATTTTTTTTATAATTTTGGCAATAAATATCGTTGCCTCTGTATTGTAAAATCTTTGTTTATATAATTGTAGTACCTATAGTTTATAATTATATTTATTGTTCATAATTATGTAATATGTAATTATATTTCAGGACTCATGTTTATTCAGTAATATAATAAAATTGAAAAAGCTTGAAAAGTTTATAATAGTAATAATTTGGGGAAACCTAAAATGTTGAAAATAGATAAATAGAGGAACATAGACATTTAACAGTTTTTTAGTTTTAGTAAATAATATTTGTATGTATCTAAATGCTCGAATTTCTAAGCCAAAATTCGCTCTTTTTACCACCTTAAGGGGCGAAATACCTTTAGACCGATGAAAATAGGCTGATTTTTGTGAATTTTTTTGTATAGGATATCTTTGTTTTGCGTTTTTGAAATTTCAGGTATAATTTATTATAACTATTGCCTATTACACAATATTTTTTGTTTTTAAATACATTTAAAAATGGCGGAATTATAACAGTCCTTCCTGGAAGTGTTTGGCGCGTCTCGTGAATCGGTGTGGGTTCTAGCCTTAGATATATTGGTCTGAAGCAAGTTTGCAGAAAATGTTTCGAAAACTAACATTCACAGTTAGTAGATGAACCTCAGAAATGTGCAAAATGTGTAAAATTAAAGAAATGGCGCGCTTTTAAAGAAAAACTTTGAATTTTATTGAAAATTTTTGCACTATTTTGCAATAAAAAGGACTTTAATGTTCAATTTATTTCATACATTTAGGTTCATATGTTAGATACTATTGTCATGGATATGTGCAAAAAATTTGAGCGCGATTGATAAACTAGTTTTTGAGTTATCAGCCACACCAATTGTAAAAATGTAGTTTTGAGAAAAACGCGTTTAAAGTTTCGGTCCTCCGCACTGAACGCGTGTATACCCGCGGCGCTAATCGGCCATAACTTCAAAAGGGCTTCGTATTTCACTTTAAAATTTTGAGACAATATTTTTAAGATGTTGCACTAACATTTTATGGAAAAACAAAATTTTTCAATTTTTTAAGATTCTAAAGGTATTTCCCCCCTTAATATAATAACACATTCATTACAATATCATTATAGTAAAACAATAATATGACATATCACATATCATACTTTCCTTTTATACATATTAGTGGTTATAGGGTAATACAATTAAATGTTTAATCTCATTTTGAAATTCTTTATTCTATCTCCTTCTATTATTATAACACAATTATTATTCCTACTATTATGATACAATTATACACTGATACAGAATTATATACAATTATTACAACACAGTGGTTCATGTACCAAAGA